AGGGTTGGGGGTTCTGAGGGGGGGAAGTGGGAGGGGCGGGGCTAGGGCAGGACAGGGGCGGGGCTAGGGCGGGGCTCCTCCTGTCCTCTTTTTTTGCTTGCTGAAATATGGTAACCCTATATATGTTAGTAATATCATCAGCTCTTGCAAGGAGATGCAGATTCCTGAATATAGGAGTAGGCAGATAAATGGAGGAATTGCTTTTAAAATCTTGTTTTATAACAAATATTGATAACTTTTAAATCTACACACACTCTGTTAACAATGTGGAATCTTAAGAGACTCTTTCAAAAAGGTTGCAGTTAAGACTTAAAATGTTGCAGTAAGCATTCAATTCATTTGATCAATGAGAATAACATTTTATTTCACTGGGTTGTGCAAATGAAAAGCATAGTTGTAGGGTTTATTTAGTAAAGCAATCATTTTATTATGTTAATAGTTTGCATTTGAGAATATGCTAATAAGTATGTGTGTGTAGATCTGGGGGTCTCCATTTGTGCTGTAATTGCAATTAACACATGTTAGAAGCATGAACACAGTATTTGTAAAACGTGAAGGGAATTTTGCTTCCTTAGCCATTAATTTGTTTCTTTAAACAAGGCTGTAGTGTTTCTTGCTCTAAGGAAGCTTTTAAAATTTACTGAATATTTATATTATTGTATAATTTCTAATCTCTTGTACTCTGTATATACTTTGATTCATATTTCATTTATTTGAGCAGTCTTTGTTCTACACCAATTTAGACTATTGCATAATCTATTTTATTTATAGAATGCCTATCATGATGGTACCTAAACTTCACCTCTTTAATTGTTGTGTATACTTGTAGACTCAACTTCGAATTGATTCATTCTTCAGACTAGCACAACATGAAAAACAAGCCATTAAGAGCCAGAGACTTCGAAGAGCTGTGACTTGTATGCGGAGGAAAGAAAAAGAAGCAGCAGCTGATGAGGCTACTGCTGTTGTAGAAAGAGAATTTAAACACGGTGAGAAAACTAAAGGAAAAATAGCTGTCCAAGGCACAACGGATCGAGCTACTGCAGCACAAAGCCAAAGGGTAAAGAGGAAAAAACATTCAAAGTCTAAAGAGGAGAGTTTCCATGGAGGCGGTTTCATTGGTGAGGTGCAGCTGTCAGAAGCATCCAGTGTGTCTTCAGGAGAGGATTCTGAAAGCGAAGTTTTAAGTAAGAGCAAAAGAGGAAAAATTGTCAAGGAATCAGCAGTTCAGAAAAACACAGTGAGACAGGAGGAAGACATGAATAGTAGCTCAAGTGGTGAGGATGGGGATGAAGAAAACACAGTCATGGTGACTGCCCGGTCTGTGTTTGAGGGCAAAAAGGGGAAATCCTGGCATGTGAGAGGAAGAAAAAAGAAAAAGTGCTAACTGTTTTTTTGTTTTATGATCAAGTCTTGATTTGTAAATAGTCTAATGAATTCTTTGTAGAAAAAAATAAATGTAAATTATCCCTTATTTTTGTGTGTGTATTGCACTGACATTCTGACTAGACTTTAAATAAGAGACCGTTTTAGCAATCTTGAACTGCAGTTTTTTTCAGGACAATTATTCAAAAGGTCCAGTGTTGGTCTTTTTATTCAGTGAAAGTTTCCATTAAATAAATAGGAGTTTTTCCTGAGTTTTTTGTTATAAAATTGGGTCTGATGATGATTTGTCAGTGTTATTTCCTAATAACTGAAGTGAGATAGTTGTATTACGTCACCATCTATCAACTTCACAATTCAGTGATGTTTGAGAAGTGATGTACAGAATTTCTGAGTATGGGGAGAAAGAGAAAATCTGCTCAGTTCTGGTTCTCTTATCCTCTTCGGTCTGCCTGTCTTCAAAAGTTTCATGTTCCAAGTCTGTTGTTTACTGCATCATTCATGGTGCAAAAAAATTGACAGAATGCTGTGGTAATGGAAGAGGGAAATGGCAGCATTATGAGAATTTACATAATCCAAAGAGGAATAATCTCTTGTAGTATTAATCTTAAATTGTACTTTCTGCCTTCAGATGTGTGTAGGAGGAAGAGGGACTGAAACATAAGCGCTTCTATCAGAGGCCTGGCCTGAGGCCTCGGCTAAAGTAGCAGTCAAAAATTTGCTGATATCAAAGCAAAATCAGGCTGTGAGCTAGAGGCAAGCCCAGCTCACAGAATCTAACAAAAGCACTGATATCGCAAAACACACATTTTGCAATAGGCACAGAGCACTCACACAAACACATTCCAGAAGGGTGGTACCAAAACACCTTGATACAAGCACATTCTCTAAAGATAACAAGAACACGCTGACCCATCCCAAAGATAAGGTCAGGATGATTGTGTGATGGATAGAGATGTACAAGGTGATGGGTGGTAATCAGCTAAGTCCGAGGGTGTCAATTAACTACCCCTAAGGGGCAGTACGTAACTTGTTTGTATTGATGTAAAAAATGGAGCCTCAAAGGGAGTGTCTCTGGCCATTCACTGAGCTGTGTCCATTGTCACAGGCATAGTGTAACTGTAGACATTGATCCTGGGAGCTAGGACCAGGCTTCGTCGACAATAAACCTGACCGGGTGCTTTCGTATCTAACGGACCTTGTGTCATTGGGTGGTCTGCTGTGCCACCTGTTTTGCGCAGAACTGGAATGGCACACACAACACATGCAGCTGAAAATCTGACGACAATGTGTATGACTCCCGTTTGAAGTCATGAGCATGTCCAAGAGCAAAAATTGTCCAAATTCAGAGGTGATGTGAAACTTAGGCAATATTAGACCTTGCATAAGACTAGTGAATAGATGAAACATTGGTAATGATGCAGCAGTGATTTGACGAAAACACCCCGTTGGTGTTTCAGGGTGCCTGCCAGCCTCTGGAGTCCTGGCAGGCTCCCTGATGTAGTACAGTGAGCCTCTCAGACCCTGTAGACAGAATTCTAGGGGGTGGCGGGTTTCCCACACTGAGGTAGCAGCCTTATGAGTCCCTGTTCGAGCCAGGACAGCTTTGTGGCCAAAAGCCTACTGGCCTCCAGAGATGTGGCTGGAGCCTCCAACTGGGACTTCCAAAGTTGGCAGACTCTCTGCCAATTAGTAGCTAATTGAAATTGAATGGTATTTCTTTGTTTCACGACTGTTCAGTGGCTAGACAAGAATGCTAATTTCATGTTTTGTTTCGGGAGAAACATATCCCAGTTAGATGCAAACAAAAATCCCTAAATTTTGGCCAACTCTGCATAAGACCCACTTAATTTACCACAATGTAAGAGTATCTATATTGGTGTAACCTGTTCTTTTTTTTTTTTTTTTTTTCTGAAGGCGATGCCCATGTAAGGTGAGGTGGTGGCCTTGGGGGGAAATAGGAGGTAGGTGGGAGGGGGCAGTAGAGTGAGAAGAGGGGGTGATGGGAATTTGGGATGTGCAGGGCTATGGCGGTCAGAGGAAAAGGCGACTCCCCAGCTCCAGGGCAGTGGCTGTCACGGAGAGACGGCCCTGCTTCCCAGCCTCAGCTCTGTGGTTGCTGTGGCAGGGGAGAGACCCCCTTTTTCCCAGCCCCAGCTCGGGGGCTGCCGCAGGGGGGGAGAGAGGGCACATCCATTGCATTAGAAAGGTAAGACTACTGATATTAAAATGGGTTGTGTGCTTTTATTTGTAGGAAAAAAACATTGTTTGTTTTTTATACAGCACTTTTATCCAAAGCACTTTACAATAGTTAGCTAACGGTACAAACAATATTTGGAAAGAGCATTAAGTGGTCTGCTGAGACCCTCAGCAATTTTCAAGTAGTCCGCAAAAAAAAAAGTTTGAGAACCACTGCCCTAGTGGTCAGCTTGCCTCACATTTGAGACTAAATGGGTTGTGTTTGACAGTGGCTCCCAAATATAAAATGTGCTCTCCAGTATTTACTGTTGCTGAGTATGGTAGAATCCTGCTGTTCTTCATTTAAGTTCTAGTGAGATTTCATTTTATGATTATTTTTTAATAGTAGCGCCTATAGGTAAATGAGATTGGGGCTCCATTGTGGCTAATGCTATACAAAGGTAGAGTAAGACTGTCTCTGCCCTGAGGAATTTACAACCTAAATAAGATAATTTTCAGAGACATGCATATGTGGCTCCACTGATATAATTGTGCCTTTTAGAAGAGATTGGAGGGGAAGGTGACGATGGAAAAGATTCTGATACGGGGAGTCTTATAGATGCACTTAATGCTGTATCTTCTGAATTTGAAATTTATGTACAAAGATGTACAATTATGTGCCTACATTTTGCCTCTTGCAAATTGAACATGTGAGTGTACAAATCTCTCAGGTGTTCAGTTTTTACAGTTGTAGTAATTGTGCACTCAAATTTAGACATACAGTTGTACATGCATTTCACAAACAGACCTCTGCTTTAAATGTGACCCTGAATGTTTGGAAGAATACTTGGCTTTTGAATGATTTCCCCCCACCACCACCCTTTTAATTTTTTTTTAATGACATAGATCATGACAGCCTTAGTAAATGCTATTTTTGTGAATTTGTCCAGATCTCTTGCTGTTATGAAATCTCCTCCTCCCTTATGTAAGAGTACAGAGTTCTCTGGGAAACACAGCACTATGTGACCACTTTGTGTTCAAGCTGCAGCTGTCAGGATTTATTAATGCCTTCTGGATATAGACCTCTTGCTGTTATGAAATCCCCTTCTGGTGGGGATTGTTGGTAGTATGTAACAAAACTTTAGTGCGTTTCTATCTGGGACTATTTGAGCTAATTGTAGGGGAAAATCCAGAGGATAAATCTTTTTATATCTCCTCCTTTTATTGGAAGGCCAAGAAAAAAGATTCAGGTATGTTGATAGATATAAAACACAGCTTTTAGACGCTGGACACCATAGAAATTCTTCTTACTGCCTCAGTTTTCAGAATACATTCTAAGTAATCTGAATTACTTCACACTGCTTATATTAAATAGTGCAGGTTAGAAATTGAACTGTTTAGTATTGAAGTGCTTTTAGTTAATCATAGCAATAGAGTATAAAATCCATTAAACATGCTATGAATTAACATTCAAAGTCTAGCAGGATGTTGTCTAGTTCAGTACACATAATAGTGTATTATGGAGATGACCTTCAGAAGAAAATATGCGTGGATGCTATGAAGGGAAATGTTTTCCCAGCTTAGAACGGTTGTGTAGTGAAACAATACTGTCTGTCATGCGGAGTGCTAAGTGTCTGTTTAATCATATTAATTTCTCTGCCAATCTGAAGAAAACCTATGCATTCTACACTGTGGAAGTAGAGGACAAACTGATCAGTGTAACATTTACTGACCTGTCCCATAGCTACTAATTGATTATTTTATGTCATCCCTGTATGGGTTAATAATGATAAAGCAATATGGTGGTAGGGAAAATCTGTACCTCTTGTATGGATAAAATCACAGAAGTTGAAGATTGAACACACCACCAGCTCCTTAACAAGGCAGGAATGTTTTTTACTTTACATTTTCTAGTCTAATTTTAAATATCCCAAGCAAAAGGGTATCCACCTCTCCCCTGAGGAAATTCTTCTACAGTCCAATAGATTTTGCTGTCAGGAAGTTGTCCCTGATATTCAGCCTATATTTTCACTTTCATAATTTTATTTCTTTACTACTGTTTATAGATCCTCTCACTTAATCCTCTCCCTCTTTGGTATTAAAATATTTATAAAGTATTATCATATGCTTCTCACAACCATTCTTTAGACACTCCAGCCATTTGTAGTTCTCCTAATCTATTATTCATAAATCTTGCTGCCCCTGATAATTTTTGCATTACTCTTCTCTGAACTCCCAATTTATCAATATTCATCTGATAATGAAGTGTCAAGGACTGACCACAATATTCAGGTCAGTTGCACTAAATCCATACACAGGGGGACTATTAACCTCATTCTTTGCAGGGATGCTTCTGTATATGCAGCCCAAAATTGCATTGCCTTTATTGCAAACTTTTGTATAATATTTTTTGTTCCCTATCGCTCCAAACTCTTTGGGCATTACAATTTTCCATTGAGTATATGCGTTTCGAGTTCTTTTGTGTGTGTGTGTGTGTGTGTGTGGCATTTTTTCAGTTAAGTGTTTGTTTGCTTGAATTTTTCAAAGTTGAATCTCATTTTGTTGTTTTCCTCCTATGTTTCTAATCTTTCTAAATCTCTTTGTATTATTTCTCTGTTCGGAATGGCATTTGCAACTCCTGCTTCCTGCTTATCATTTATGAATTTCATTAATATACGGTTTACACCTCCGTCCCGATAATTAATGAAGTTAAGCAAGGCCAGATCTTACGGCAATCTCTTCGATACTAAGCTGGACGTTTTTCTCCTCCACCATACGTTTCTCATGAACTTTTTATGTTCTTTCAGCCGTGTTCCTATCCAAGATTATTTGAATTAATTTTCAACTAAGATTTAATAAAATAGTATTAAATCCTTCAGTAATACCCCAAATTTCTATCAACTGCATTCCCTTCATCTATTTTTTTTTCTTTGAGAATAAAAAAATCTGATTTGCTTGAGAAAATTTATTCTTTGTTCCATGGTTCCATACTCCTTTAGATATTTAGTGATTCTGTTCCCCTTGGCATTCCATTATTTTACTAGTGATAGAAGTTATTTGTAGGATTGTAATTGCCAGGAGCACTCTCTTCTTTACTTTTTTGAAAATCAGTACAGTACTGCTTGTCTACAGCCTGCCAGTATCTCCCCAGTTCTTTAAGATTTTTCAAAAATAATTTCCATAGTTCAATAAATTCATTAGCTAATTTTCTTAATTGCCCAGGTGGCCATGTTGCCTAGGTAAGCAAGTTTGTATATATCCAGGTTGTCCAAGTATTCCTTTATTTGCTTAATAATTTTTACAAGTGCTTCCTTTCTAATTGTTCATCCCTAGATTTTAATTTTTTTTTCTGTTTAAAATATTTGAAACAAGTTCAGTATGTGATTTAATTGAGTCACCACAGTCATTTGTGTCATTTCATTACTGGTCCCTACTTTGTCTAGTATTGCCTGCCCGATGATATTTTTAAAACCTCATCTTATCCTTTTTAGGTAATAGCAACTCATTTTTTAAAACCACCTTTATATTTTCCCTGCAAATCTTAACTGTGTATTCCTCATTGTTTGCTTGTTTGCCTCATTCATTTTTCCTAAGCAGAATTTTGGTTTCCAGCACCTTTTTTATGCAAAAAATTTTCTCTACACACACACACACACACACACACACACACACTGTGTATATATGTAAATAAATAATATTCCATTTGATATTTTAATAAGTATATTTTCTGTCCAGTATTGTACCACATGAAATGGACATGATACCATCACAATGTAATCATCTGATATCTGCTGAATTAATAAGGACACCAGAATATAAGGAAGGTAATTTATTTTTCTTATCTGCTTCATTTTCCTGTTATGCTTGAGAAGGTTATTAAGTAGGAGGAAAAAGTGTTTTTCCATGAGGTATTTTCACATTCATGTCACTTAAGGAACTGTGTTAACATTTACATAAAAATGCAATGGTGTTATTGCAGTGTTTGTAGTGAAAATTCGTAATGTTATGCCATGCCAGCTCACACAAACCTTGGCAGCTTCCTACCAGAGTTTAGAGCAGTGCCTCTGGCTGGTTCCAGTGAATGAAGCTGTTGCCATAGATCAGGATATTAATGTAGAGTTTCTATGTGGGATGTCAATAAGCCAAAATGAATTACTTACAAGCTCCATTTCAGTCTGGACTGCCTCCAACTTAATCCTGAGAGATCTTCACATAAAACTAGTAGCAGAATCAGGCTTTGCTCCCACCAAGCTTGTGGTTGCAGGCCCTGTGATTTTTTTTTATTATTTTTTTTTTAAAGACCCTTAAAGATGAAGGTTAATCGCAGATTTTAGGTTTTAAACAGATCAAAACTTTTGAGTACTGGCTGTGAAAGGAGTTTTCAAAATATTAATTTATAGGTAAGACAGAAAGTTTGTCATAGTGAATGGACTGTGTGCACTTAATGAGCAGTTATTCAGTATTTGCTTTCTCCACACTGTTCAGTGTGTGGTTTCCTGCCTTTTTTTATTGCACAATATTCAAACCCTGCTCTAAAGACCATTATTAATGTCCTCATGTGCTTTTTCAATTGTATTAATCACTACAGTATCTACATGTTTCACAAACACTAACAAATTTATTTTCACAATACACACCCCCACACGGTCCCGTGAGATCAGGGAGTGGTATTATCCCCATTTTACTCAAGAGAAATTGAGGCACAGGGAGATTGAGGTCAAAAGTATGCAGTAATTTTGGGTGCCCAATTTGAGATACTTAAGTACTGTGAAAAATCAGGTCCTACCATTATATAGCACTTTGAACATATAAAGCTCAGGGCCCATAGACATTTGTTGCTGCTGTGAGTTTTCAGCACTTCTGTAAATCAAATCCCATGGTCTCAAGTTAGGTAACCAGAAAAAGAGGAACACACAATTGTTGGAGGCTTTTCCCTTCACCCCTTCCCCTGCTTCTTGTCACACACAAGACCAGAAGTCTGAGGTGCAGGCAATGCAATGTTTATTGGGGTTAGTTTCAAGCAAGCATATCCATAGCTCTGCATGCCGGCAGAGTCTGTTTCCCACTGTTCCGTTCCCAGCTCTGACACTGCAGAGCCTTTACCCCACGTCTCCCTTCCTAGCACTGACGTCACAGAACTTTTGCCTGTGTCCCTGTTCCCCATTCTCACCTCCTCCTCCTTAGCAGGCCCAAATATACCTGTAGTGCACACCCCTAGTCCCACCCCGTACAACTTACGGTCATGTTCCATTTTGGAGGGTCATGAGTCTGGGGTCTTTGTCCCACCTCTTTTGTATCCCATGGGAGGGGTAAGGAGTGAGGTGGCGCTCTGGACATGACCAGGCCTTTCTTTGGATTTTAACTGGTTGCTTGACCTTGGCTTGAGAGAGGAGCCAGGCAGCCTTCCAGTGTATGCTCATATATTACACTCCCATCATGCCCTGTAACACTTTTGACTTTATCTCTTTTCACCCCATCTGCTTTTGGGCAGATGTAACACACGG